CACCATTACTATTAGCTATAGTACTTTACCAATTATGATTAATTACATAACAAGTTTGCAAGTCATACAAATTGATTTAACATTTTGACTAGTTTTTTAAAAAAAATAAAATATATATATATATATATATATACGAGGTAGAAATAAATTGGTTAAAAAGTTGAGAAAATATTTTAAATTAGTGTAATAAAATGTGTAAGTTGGTAATGAGTTAAGTTACTTGATGCGTTGACCCGAACAACCCGAAACCCGACCCGCCCGCAATCCGCCCGACCCAAAACCCGATGAATCCGCAACCCGATTTGCCCGCAACCCGATTGAATCCGAACCCGATAAACCCGCAACCCGACTAACCCACAACCCGTTTGAACCCGAACCCGATGAACCCGCAACCCGTCTAACCCACAACCAGTTTGAACCCGAACCCGATTGAACCCAGCCCGAACCCGCCCGATTGACACCTATACTAATACCTGTCGAATTTTTGAAAGTGGCTCAACTCTGCTACAATTCTGAAACATTAATCTCATTTCTCGATGGGGCCACTAACAGGTGGATTCTTCCACCGGATTATTCTTCTTTTCTTCATCAAAACTAAATATTTTAGGTTTTAAATGTGTCGACTCCTCTTATGTTCATATCTCATCACAAACTCTTTTATTATTAGAAAGCATTTCCTCCATCTCACCTAGTCCTATCTTGAAGCTCGACTTCTTCCTACATGATGTAGACCTTTTGACCAATAGAGGGTAGCTAGAACAATTTTTAGGCTAGACTTTCCAAACATGTTGCTACGACTCTATAATTTTTTTTCAGCAACTCTCACAGTGTGATAAGCCACAAATGGTCCTCCATCTTTACTTTCCCTTTTTCAGCTGCCGAGAGCTTCCTCTCACCAACAGACAATACCTCCACCAAAGGCTTCACTTCTTGATTCTGTAAAATAGGAGCAGTAACCCCTTCATTCATTCTTCGCATCCCATCCTCTACCAACTCCTGCAATTGAATGACATACAACATCTCCTTCCTATTAAAAATGGCTTCTATGCATATAAAATATGGATCAAAGCCAATTCACTTTTCACAAGCAACAAAGGTACACGATCATTGATGTTCTCATTTACCTCAGCCCTACCTGCCCCCATGAGAGCGAATCCCTCAACCTCTTACCACACAGAAGCAATCGGCACTTCATGTTGTGCTTCAGCCATCAAAATATTCCCTTTGTTTTGTTCAGCCCGCATATGAGAGACAGTGAGGCATCAAATATTCCCTTGGTTTTGTTCAGCCATCAAAATATTCTCGTAATTATCAAAGTCATGCATCTTCGAGAACGAACAAGAAAAGGAAATTTTCAGGGTTTTTGTGCGGGATATGATGGAATTGAAAATGCAATCTCAACACAAAGATGGGAGAAGGATTTAATAATATAAAGGATAGAATCTCAACCACAATCAAGGGGAAAACTTGATTGATATAGAGAAAATTTCACTAGCCTAAAGCTCAATGAACCAAGATGAAAATCGATATTCTTCAAATCTAATAACAAAACTCGGCCAGTCCCCTTTAAATAGGTTTGAAAAAAAATAAACTAAACAAACAAGGAAAAGATAATTATCAAACTCATCGATTCCTGATCCCCAATTGGACCGCTTCAGATCCCGATCATGGATTAGTACCCTCACGACCGATGGCTTCTTTGTTGCTATTCTCCGGTCTCCCTCTTGCTATCCCCGTGGGGATTTCTCACCTGTGGCCGGAGATTATTGATCTGATCCATTTTCTTGCTTCAGCGAGGTGCGTCTGTTACACCCCGTCCTTTCCTTAAGCCAAAATGACCATTATGCCCTTGATAAAATTTGTCAAATTCAATCGTAATATCGATTAGGACGAAAAATGTGAACTATCGTAATATCGATTTTGGTGTTTTTGATTTATGGGAATGGAAAGAAGTGGATATTTTTGTGCTTTTGATTTATGAAAAGAGAAACAAGTGGAAAATTTTGTGTTTTCAACTTTTTTGGAAAGAAAGAAGAGGGAAATTTGTGCTTTCAATTTTATGCAAGAGAAAAAATGGAAAGTTGAGTGCTTTTAATTTATGAAAGGAGAAAGGAGAGAAAGTTTGTTGTGTTTTCATATATGATTCCGATGATTTAGGAGATTGACATTTAGTTACTAAGGCATTGTCTATTATAAACCTTATTAAAGTTTTATGAGTGCATGACTAATTCGATATAATAGATTTGGGAACATATCATGAGTTAAGAGTTTAGATAACCTATAATGAGTCATCTTATCATAATAAACCAATCACTTTTGTTATAGTACACATAACAAAAGTTTAGATAATCTAACACCCATGTCATGAACTAATTTAAAAGTTTTTGATAACCAACGTACTTATATAGCTATATGAACAATTAATTTGATTATTTTTAGGAGATGGGAGTTATACAATTTCAAGGTTAATATATATGTAATTTTTTATGGCTTAATAACTAAATTAACCATAAGTTTCAACAATCAATTGTTTTAGAAAAATCAATTAATTTGTCTATTTGTTTTATATACTTCTACATTTATTCCAACTTCTGCACTATATGATCATTATTTTACACCACTGAAGAAAAGTTTTGGCACATTTAAGTTGTGCTCAAGTTGAATTTTAGTTTCAAATTGAGGGTTAAGGCTGGTATGTTAAGTCATATGATTATAATAACTCAATCATGTAAAAGTGTACAAATTATTGTAACAAACTTTTACAAAAACAATTTGACTTATATAAGTACTTCTACCCAAAAAAAACATTATAAGTACATATGACATATGTAGAAATAAATTTTTAAAAACTATGCAAAATATGTTTAAAATTGTTTAATAAATAAAAGTGTAAGTTGTAGCGATTAAGAGTAAGTAACATAATGCGTTGACTCCCGAACAACCCGCAACCCGCCTAACTCGTAACCCGCACAACCCGTAACTTGATTGACCCACATGAATTCGCAACTGATTGACCCGTAACTCAACTGACCTATTGCCCGATAAACCCGAACCCGACTAATTCATAACCCAATAAACCTGAAAACCCGGCTAACTAGTAACCAGATTGAATCTAACCCAAATCCGCTCAATTGACACCTCTAATTAAAACATATAACAAACTAGCGTAGTTAGTAAAATATAGTACAGAAAAGTTACATATAAAATACGTACGAGTATTTTACTTCGTCTCTATGGTAATGTTACGTTTAATTGTACGTTAATTGTTATAAATATAGAACAATTAATTATTTTAAAAATAAATAAATATATTAATAATAGTAAAGTTAATAATTTAATTCATTAAATACGGATATTAAACATCTTATACATATTTTGTACCTGTTTAATATGGGAGCCATCAAATAAACAGACAAAAATGAAACGGTTTGACAATAATACGAATACAAAAGTTTTAAAGTTTAAACACATAAAGTACGATACAGTTACAAGTATATTAACAAAGTACTAGCCTTTTACTACCCTAACTAGTAACTATAACCGACTACTGATACAGTATAATTCAGCGGCCACTTACACTTGAGCTTTTTATTTTTATTTTGATGGGTTTAGATAGCGTCACAACCCTCATGGGGGTTGTGATTTTCACTTCCTCCTTCGCAGCCATTAGATCCACCCTCTCTCTTGGTTTTTCAAATTAACGGTTTAGATTAAATGAAGGATATTTTTGGAAGAGAAAAACTTACCACACAGGATCCTTTCTCATTTTCTATATAATCTGATTTCCAAAAAAAAAAAAAACTCTTCCTCTCTCCCCTCTCTCTCTTTCCTCTCCCGAGAACCCTAACTACTCTCTGTCTCTCCCTCCCGTTGTCATCGCCGCCGCTGCCGCCTCCCCCTCCCGTCGCCACTGTCGTCGTCTTTCCCTCCCGTCGCCACCGCCACCATCTCTCCCTCCCTCCGCAGCCGTCGCGTCCTCCGCCTCCCACCATCGCAGCCGTCGCGTCCTCCGCCTCCCACCATCGCAACCCTCTCTCCTCCCTCCAACTCCTGTCACCGCCATCTCTCTCCCGCCGTCCTCCTCAGCCGCCGCCGCTAGGTAACAACCTCTCCCCTTCCTTCTCCTTTCCTTAATTTTTTTCCAGATCTGGGATTTTCCAGATTCCAGATCTTGTTTTTTTATGTTATTCTCTAGTGGTACTGATTTCTGTCTAGTGGTAGCGTACCGGCACTCAGTGGTAGCGGTACCAGTGAGTAGTGGTACTGATTTCTGTCTAGTGGTACGCTACCAGTGGTAGTGGTATCGTACCACTATTCACTGGTAGCGGTACCAGTGGTAGTGGTATCGTACCACTATTCACTGGTAGCGGTACCAGTGGTAGTGGTATCGTACCACTATTCACTGGTAGCGGTACGAGTGGTATTTGTAGCGTACCACTACCACTAGTACGTACCACAACTACTGGTAGCGTACCACTAGATGAAAATCAGTACCACTAGCACACCGACAGAGTGATTTTTTTGCAGTTGGCCGGAGCGAGTCTGATTGGAGGATTTCACCGGAAAAATTCGTCGGCCAGAGAAACTTTGGTGGTCGGAGTGAAGAGATTGCTGGAAAAGAAAGAGAGAGATATAAGCGTATTAATTGTAGGATTTGAATTAAAAAAGTATTTAATCTGGATTTTTAATTCCCAATCTGTAATTAATAGAAAAATAAATAAATAATAAATTCTGTTTTTTTTTTCATACTCAAATTGTCCTTGGATGTGAATCTCACATCCTCTTAGGGGATGTGACCGTATCCCACCCCTATTTTGATGACACTTACACAGCTACACTTGAGCTTTAAGTGAACTATAGGGGCTGAAAAGTAAAAAAATAGAGCTGGAATCTTTGTCATAGCCTAGCCCAAGATAGGTTGGGCCGTTGGGCCTTCTCTGTAGGCTTTGTGATAAAATAAAAATAAAAACAAATAAAGATTTTCATTTATCTTTCTGCAACTTTCTTCTCTATTTCTTGCGTGAAATTTTGTTGCCTAGTTGACTAGCCGCGGACCCAGGGCGGACAACGATGAAGAATAAGGCGAAGCACTAAGCACTGGCAAACAGTGGAGGATTAATTCCTTTCCTCCTTCATAATTCCCAGTTTGCCGAGTCCATCTTCCTTCTGCTGGTAAGCGATTCTTTCGGTGATGTCTGGTGTTCTTGTTCCAAAGCTAACATTCATTTTCTGTCTTCACCGTAAAGCAGCCGCCTCCGTATCTTTCCTTAACGGTAGAGTTTTTCAATTTCGATTTGCTTGAGAGCTCTGCATTGCACATCGTTGACAGATTGGGTGAATCAGTTTGTGGGTAGTTGTAAAGTTCCCCTGTTTGCAGCTACAACGACTGGCGGAACTCCAGAACGAACTTGGGTTTCCTGTGAAAACTTGTCTGCTTGAATTTCCGTGATGCCTGAACATTGGTTTAGTATTATATCTGTAATGTGCCCCCAGAAACTTGCTCACGTCAAGTTTCTCATTGTCAGACCTCCCTTTCCTGTTTTAGAACATGAATCAATTCCTGATTTGGAATTCTCGCAGCAGGGTTTAGATATAAACTACTGGTTCCATGTCAATTATTTCATTGATCCACTATTCATGTATAAGGGCACCCCCTTAATTGCTCTTACTTCTGAGCTAAAGTTATCGTTTTCTATTGGGAATGATGCCTTGATTGCTTACGTTTATCCGTTATAAGTCACTGTTGGCTTGGAGAATCTTATTAAGGAGTTGCAGATGAATCTCATGTTGATATTTGCTTTGAAATTTTCCCAGTTGTACCCGTAAGGAGCTTGTTTTGCTTGAATATCTCTCACTACCAATGGCTACAAAGCCATTGAGCAACATATGGATTCGACAACAACAATGCCCATGCGGAGACTGGAAGTGCTACCTTAGGTCTGATGGAGATGATCAATCAACATCAATAAACTCCCACTTACCAAAGAATGAGCCAACGACATCATCCTCATCATTGGTCGAAGCAGTCTTCACACCCTATGTTGGTCAGATTTTCAAGACCGACGCAGATGCCTTTCAGTGCTACAGCAACTTTGCGCGAAAGAATGGCTTCTCAATCCGGAAAGCACGATCAACTGAAAGCCAAAACCTTGGAGTCTATAGGCGTGACTTTGTTTGCTACCGGTCGGGATTCAATCAGCCTAGGAAAAAAGCCAATGTGGAGCATCCCAGGGACCGAAAGTCGGTTCGATGTGGATGTGATGCAAAGTTGTATTTAACAAAGGAAATAGTAGACGGTGTTGTTCAGTGGTATATCTCACAGTTCAGCAATATACACAATCACGAGTTGTTGGAAGATGATCAAGTTCGACTCTTACCTGCATATAGAAAAATTCATGAAGCTGATCAAGAACGTATTGTCTTGTTATCCAAGGCTGGGTTTCCTGTGAATCGGATAGTTAAAGTGTTGGAGTTGGAAAAGGGAGTTCAGCCTGGGCAGCTTCCCTTCATAGAGAAGGATGTGAGAAACTTTGTAAGGACCTGTAAGAAGACTGTTCAAGAAACTGATGTTTTGCTTACTGAGAAGAAGGAGAATGATAGGTTGGAGCTTCTCGAAGCATGCAAGGGTATGGCAGAGAGGGATAGTGATTTCGCTTATGATTATAGCACAGGTGTAAATGAAAAGATTGAGAATGTTGCATGGGCATATGGGGAATCCGTTCGAGCCTATGCATTGTATGGAGATGTTGTTTACCTTGATACAACCTACCGTTCGATAACCTATGGATTGCTTCTAGGAGTGATGTTTGGCATGGATAATCATGGGAAGGCTGTTCTGTTCGGATGTTTCTTGCTGCAAGATGAAAGTTGTAACTCTTTTGCATGGGCTTTACATACTTTTGTTCGATTTATGAGAAGTAGACAGCCACAGACGATTCTAACAGATGTAGATTCTGGGATTATGGATGCTATAGCAATGGAATTGCCAGATGCTAAGCATGTGATATGTCGATGGCACGTGGTGTCCAAGTTGTCTAGCTGGTTCTGTTTGCTTCTTGGTCAGCAGTATGGGGATTTTAAAGCTGAGTTTGATATCATCTGTCACTTAGAAAGTGGAGAGGAATTTGAACACCAATGGAATCTTTTGATTGGAAGATTTGGACTTGTTTCAGATAAGCATGCTGCTTTGCTCTACTCGTATAAAGGATCCTGGTCAATGAGTTATGTTAGAGGGTGCTTTCTGGCTCGTATGTTGACTCCTGAGTTCTCGCAGTCGGTTGATTTGTTCTTGAAAAGGATTCTGAATGGGCAGTCATTGCAAGTGTTCTTTGAGCAGGTTACTTACTCTCATTACTTCCCATGGGTTTTAATTGCTAGTTGGCTCTGCTATTTTAACATTTATCTTCAGCTCTTTAAACTTTTGTGGGGATCTTGTAGGTGAATGCTGCTGCCAACTATGCAAATGAAGCCAAAACCAGGATTTACTATTCGCCGATCAAGACAGGCACACCTATCGAAGAGCATGCACGGAGCATTCTTACACCTTACGCTTTCAACATCTTTCAGCAAGAAATTGTGTTGTCCATGCAATATGGAGCGCAAGAACTGCCAGATGGGTCATATCTCGTACAACATTTTAAGAAATTGGATGGAGAATATTTCATAATTTGGATACCTGAAGAAGAACAGGTTCACTGTTCGTGCAAAGAATTTGAGCACTCGGGGATTCTGTGTCGGCATTCTATGAGGTTACTTCAGCTCAAGAACTGCTTTCAGCTCCCAGAAAAATATTTACCAGTCCGCTGGAGAAGTTCTGTGGGAGAAGATCCTAATGCTGAAAGCAACAGTGATGAGTGTGTTCAAAGCTTCCATATTCTTGCTGCATCTCTACTGACTGAATCGGTGATATCCAAAGATCGGTTTAGTTATGTTCGTAAGGAGCTTTCAACAATACTTGAGCATGTTCGAAGCATGCCAACTGGAGAAGAATTGCTTCTCAATGTGGCTGATAATAATGGCGTTGAATCATGACTGGGATAAAATATAGTCTAGGGTGACCTATATAAACCACAGTTATAACATTGCGCATCAAAATATAACTTTTGCTTATCTTTGATTGCGTTGAACAGCAACCGGAAAGGGTGAAATACAAGCTTTTTGGTTGCTTCTATCTGCATCTTTATTCAATTATTCTTGACTTAATATATTTGTATGGCCTGAACTTTGATTAAAATAAATATCCTGACTAATCTTTTCGATTTATAATATCGTGGGCTAAACTATACATCAAAATAACTAAATTGGTCAAACCCAATATTTGACCGTCAACTTGAATAGTCAAACGCGTTGACTATAGATCAACGCGCCATCACTGCCAACTTAGCAAATATAAATTTACAAAATTCATGAATTCCATGTAATCTCTATTATTGAATTATTATAATTAAATAAAAAATTAAAACAAAAATATTAATAAAAGACTCATGCTTCCCTTTCTCTTGTTTCGACCTTTTCTTTCTCTTCCTTCTCCGCGACGATCTCTGTCCACAACAAGGAGGCCGCCGCCAGCGCCTGGCAGCGAGGGGAGTTTTAGAAGACTGGAGCTTGGGATCAGCGACATGAATGGTGCCGCCGAGTCCGTGTTCCAGCAACAGGAGTTTTCGCAGCACCGAAACCAGAGGTGGGTGCATCTTCCTCTAACGATTTGCGAGGCTTTGACGTTCTGATCTGAGTTGGTGGCGGAAGAGCAGAGGAAGATAAAAGAAGAAGGCTATAGTAGCCCAGAGATGCGGCGGAGGAGATATAGAAGGTATCATGGATTTGAGAAGATCGATTTCGATTATTGATGAGATGTGAGAAGATTGATTTCGCCGCCAATTTCAGATCCTAGAACAATGGAGCATTGGAGCTCGATTTTCCCCTTGGAATGGGTTTTCTACACGGCGATGAACATCGCTCCGTGGATCTTGACCGTCGGGGTGTCCACCGCTGACCGTGATTTCCCGGTGGATGTCGTGCTCAGAGATGGAAGCGTGCTCACTGGAGTTTCGCACTACGGCGGGAACGGTCTGCCGGAGGGAGAGCTTTTGCCGCTTGTGTACAACGCCGATTGCAGGAGCAAGTACTGCTATTCGGGATACCTCGACCCGGTGAAGGTGAAGGGGAAGATTGTGTTGTGCGATCGCGGCGAAGGTGAAGGGGAAGATAGGTACACCCAGGGGCGTAGCTAGGATTTCGACCAGGGTGGGTCCACTTTGAAAAAATATATATGATGAAATAACTTTTATTAATTTTTTTAATTATTCATAATATAATTTTATATTTAAAATTTTTTATAAAATAAAATACATTAATAGTCAAAACTATTAAGAATATCACTCTCTCTATATACCAAACATTTATTCATAATTTAGTTATTCGGTCGCTTTCGAATGATGTTATTTGCCAATAATTATTTACTATAGGTTTAATAATGAATCTTATACAAATAATTATTCATGATTTAGTTATTTGTTCGCTTTCGAATTGTGTCTTTGTCAATAACCATAGTATCAATAACTAGAGTTGTTGGTTGAAGTTCAATAATATATTTTATACCATTTACCAATATACCACGTTATAAGAAAATCAAATTATGTGGAATTTAAGTTTGTACAAATTCGAATACTATATGTGCTTAATGAATGAGGTCGTCAAAACTAGAACACAAAACCTTTCGATCAACGATTATCAATTAAACATACTCTAATTTTCCGAATCAATTAATTGTTATACCTAATTTAGTCCTTTTTTTTCCGAGCTAGGGTGGGTCCCGGGACCCACCCATTTGCCCTCTCCCTCCGCCCCTGGGTACACCCCTTGGAGTGGCGAATCTGTTGCATCTGTTTAAATTTGAAAGGGGGTCTGTCGGAAGCTGGAAATTGAAGCCGGAAATTGGACACGAATTAGGGTTTTAGAATCAAAGAGGAGGTAGAGGTCGTTGGGAAATTGAAAATCGAAGAAGGGGTTTGGGGAGTAGACGGAGGGGAGCCGCCGATGGGGGTTATTATTTTTTTTAATTTAATTGTAATAAATTCAAAATTAGAAAATATGTGTAAATTTTGAATATTTTAATGATTTATATGATGATCGGGCGGTGACGTAGCATGTTGACCGTTAGTCAACGCGTTTGACCGTCTAAATTAACGGTCAAACATCTGGTTTGGCCAATTTAGTTAGTTTGATGTATAGTTTGGGCCAGGATGTTATAGATCGAAAAAATTGGTCAGGATTTTTATTATGGTCAAAGTTCAGACCATACAAATATATTAACCTATTATTCTTTTAGTGATCCTTGTCAAGAAATACCTCAGAATTCAGGTTGTATGCACTTTCTGATTAACCGTTGTTAATGAACCAATCCGAACCGAGTTTTATCATATTCAGATTTTGTTCATTTATAAACGAGTCAAACTCGAGCTCGCTTTGTTTATAAACGAGTTGATTTGAGTAGAACAACAGTCAGCTCATTTATTAAATCTTGTCTAATCATTAAGATCAAAAGATTGACTTGAGCTCAACTCTACGATAACTTATAAATGAAATATCATAATATTTATATGCCATATATGATACATGAGATTAATTGATCTCATGTAATATATGAGACAAATTTGCTGACATACTGATAGACCATTGATTACACATGTTTTTACCCCTATTCTTGAGTCGTTTGAGATGTTGATTATCGTGTTTTAAGCAGATTTCACGTTAGGTTGTGCGTTTATGTCATAATTCAGGACGTAGCGTTGGCATCGAGGAGAAGAAACGAGTTTCGGGTCGAAAGGAGCATGTTTGGGTCGAAATGTGTTGGAGGAGAAAAATACCCGGCCATGAGCAGAAATACGTGGCCGGGTATTATTTGGAGCAGACCGGGAAAAATGCGTTTTGGACGTTTGAGAAGCAGAAGGGGGCCCGGTCGTGAGGCTTTAATCCCCTGTCGGGGATTCTTGGCCTTGACCGGGGATTTTCCCCTGTTACCAGACGGTGCGTTTTGAAGATACTTGACACGCCAAAACACAACACCAAACTGCGACCAAGTGTAATCGCAGTCCGGAAATGCAGTAAAGTGGCAAGTTCTATTATCAACCTGGGTCTATATCTACTGCTTACTCCGTGAGTATCTATTATCTAGCCAACTAAGTTAAGTGTTTGTTGTTTTAAGCAAAAGCAGAAAGAAAGCAGGAATTGGTACGGTTTTCTCAAGCAAAGAAGAGTCACTCGGGAATGAGTCCCCCTAGCTCCTTAGTTAGGTTTCAATTGTAATTTCCCTGGGTTGATTTACCGTTGATTAGACTGCGGAAGATCCGACAGTAGCTTGGAATCTCTTAAGCTGACCAAGCCCTCTCAGTCTAACTACCCGGCAGACGACTAGTCTTCACCGGGATAGAAAGCTGAAGCAGTAAGCACAGAACTCCACTACTGGAATTGGATTCCAGTACAAAGCAGTAAACTGGCTAACTCTCGTATAGCCAATCTCCTACTACCGAATGATGAGGCTCTAACAACCTAATAAGATTCTATCTATCTCAGGTTGCAGCAGAAATCAGGAAAAGCTTATCAGACTTCAATTGACTCAATAAACATGCATCATTCGATTAAAACCAAGCAGTAATATCATCCCAAGTCATTACAATCAAACCCCTAACACATAGAATTAGGGTTCTTCATACCCAAGTGAGAGAAGGTTTCTACTCCATAGAGAGAGGGGAAAACAGAATACAAAGCAGTCATACTCATATCAATGGGAAGAATCTGCTCTAGGATGATGATTTCCACTCCTATGACGATCTCCAAGCTCGATTTGATGAAACCCAGCTCCAAGATAGCTTCTAGGATGTGTTCTTCGTACTTTCTCTCTTTAGGGCTCTGTTTTTGCTCTAAAAATACGATTCTCTCACTTGCAGCCCGAAATTGGGTAAAAACCAGAAATTCCCGACTCACACGGGCAGGGCCACACGGCCGTGTGGCATACCCAGTTGCCCGTGTGAAGTCAAAACGCCGCGTTCCGAATAATTGGATTTCAGGCTTCTTACACGGCCAAGGTCACACGGCCGTGTAGCTCACCCAGCCTGGCCGTGTGAAGCCTCGCAGAATTCCACACGGCCAGAGTGCAACTTCACACGGCCGTGTGACTTTCATGGCTAGCCGTGTGAAGGCTCGCACAATCCCACACGGCCAAATTGGTCACTTGCACGGCCGTGTGAGTTGTGAGTGTGCCCGTGTGGCTTCCTTTTTGACTTGCCTCGCGCCCGATCTTCGTCCAATCGTCCCCGAACTCGCTCCTAAACCTTCATTCACTTGCTAGGACCTGAAATATCACAAACAAACACAACCTAGCGTGAAATCGGCCTAAAACACGAGAATTACCATCTCAAACGGCTCCAGAATAGGGGTATAAACATGTGCAATTTACGGCTTATCAAATTCCCTCACACTTAACCGTTTGCTTGTCCCCAAGCAAACCAAGTTAGACACAAGGTAAGCTCACATATTTCAATCATACCAACATTGGGGACAAATCATATAGGCACAGAAACACGTGAATCATACTGGCTTTCAAACATCAACGCATGAACAACCTCAACAGCAACCTGGACAACCACCACAGAAGACATTCGAGTGCAGCAAAATCGAGTAAAGGAGGAGTCTCCCTACTGTTCATCAACCAACCTAGACTTGACTCAATCACTCACTCAAGACAGTCAACTCATGCATAAAACTCAAGACATCAGAATCAAGACTGAGCCATCTAGGTCCTCACCGGGTAAAGAGTGTAAAGAACAAGGAAATGAATCGCTCACTCTCGACCAGTGGGGTCAGGACAATTTGATGCGAAAAATGTGCATACTTATTCTCTCAATTCCTAACATCTCTTCACCATGACGCCAGCCTCTAAAGGTTAGAGTTCACATAAATGGTTGTCATCACTAACTAATCAGGAGGTCTTAGACACAGGTTCAAATGACTGGCTAAGGTCTTGGACATGGGGAAAAGGCATTTTAGGTGGTGGAAGTATTCATAGCACAAGGTTCCACAAATCCAAACCCAACAAACTCACAGTCAATCAAACCAGTACTTTCTTTCTGCTATTCTGCATTACTCAAATTCAGAGCACAAGAGCGAAGGAGGTCACATAAATACCAGTATTTCTAAGCCAGACTGCTAAGAAACACTACTTAATGGGCATTATTCATATTTTTGGTGGTGGCTCTCTTTTGCTTTCATTTTTTTCTTTGTTTTTCTTTCATTTTTTTAATTTCTTAAGAGAACCACCACCTCTGCACATTTTCAAACACCTGCCCAACTTTTTAAGAACTACCTCCAACTCTCACATTACATTTAGCAGAAACAGCAGAGAACATGTAAAAATCACTCTGTGGAACCTTCTAAAAGATGCAAAAGGGTGACTTTTCATTGAAGACCAAAAGAAAGGATAACACACGGCTCAAAGGGGCTGACTAGGGGGTATGACACACCAGGACAGTCAATTTGCTCGTGGGCTAATCCTATGTCTCCATCATCTTAGCTAATGACAACGTGAATGCTACACATCATGGAAGAGGGAACTATCGCACAAGAAAGAAACGAGCAGGCTCAAATCTCACATGGTTACCTAAATGCTCTATCTCTCATTCTGATTCCCTGAACTAGATGCATAAGAGACTCTCAAGAACAAGTAATCAATCCAAGTCACAGTTGGTAAGCAAACAGTTCAAAAAATTGAACCCTACCCAATTCTACTGCACGTCTCAGTCATCATTATAGGTTGTCCTAATCACCATCCAGTTGTCATGCATTAATCCGAAAACCATTCAATTCACCAATCAAAACACAGTGCCAATATGATCAAACAGCCGTACTTGGAGCCCTCAAATCTCGAGATTTGGACAGTGGACTAGGCTCCAAGCACACGTATATACATTCCAACCGATACAAAGCACCCCCCCCCCACACTTAAGCATGACATTGCCCTCAATGGAGCAGAGGGATAGAGAAGGGGAACGATGTTACCGGATTGAAATGCTGCGGGAGACTGGAAGTGGACCAGTAAGCGTGGGACATATGGAACGAACGGACAGTTCTGCACTAAGGGAACATCAAGAACACACTAGCACATGTTCGTTAGGGATTAGAGTTGGCCCAGATGGCCACAAAATAAACAATCCACAAAAGAAAAGAAACAAAACACACGACAAACTCAGTTCAAGCTCCTCAAACACATGGAGCAAACAGAAAAAGTCTAAAACAAAAACACACTGAGGGGCGACAAGTACAGCCTACTCATCGCCAAGGTTGTCCAGATCGATGTCGCCGTGTCGGCCGAGTTTATAGCCCGTGGCTCGGCCACACGGGCAGGCTCACACGGCCGTGTGAGGTACACCTTTGCCTGTGTCGGCCGACACGGGCTGGCCGAGGATTTTTCACTCGGCCGTGCGAACAGCACATTTGGCCGTGTGACTTTTGACGAGAGCTCACACGGCCAAGGGGGATTTCCACATGGCCGTGTCACAAGCACACTTGGCCGTGTGGAATTTCACGAGAGCTCACACGGCCAAAACTCAAATCCACACAGCCGTGTGACTTTCAGGGCTGGCCGTGTGGTTTGCCAGAACTCCAAAATTGACCTGTTTTCACTCCAGAACGACATACAACTAGTGAACAACCCCTCAAGACTAAAAAAAACACAAAAAATCAAAAGGAAAAAGTTAAGAAAATGCAAACCTAGGTGGGGTTGCCTCCCCACAAGCGCTTCTTTTACGTCTTAGCTAAACGGTGGCTCCTAAGTTTTGGTCCATCCCAGAACCTCCTTGAAGTTGAGGTTCTCGTCGATGATGTGGAGTCTCGAGTCACAAGCAGGTGATGTGATAGGTGATGAAGATGGCTCGTGGCCTTGAGGAAGATGAAGTCTCCACTCACGAGACCTCTCCTTCGCGTCTGCTCTTGTCTCACTTCCCAAAATCAGATAAATTATATTCGATTGACCACCTTCGCATCCACCAAGAGGAATTGATGTTGATGTGGTCTTGGTCTGGCAAAGAGACACTGCAAATGGGTCCTTGCCAAGCAGCTCCTCGATGTTTGGTGGAGATATCAAATGTAACATAGGGCCGGTGCAAGCCTCTTCCACCTCAACTTCATCCTCAGCCTGGACGCCAATTGCTTCCTCAACCCCCCTTACTTCTTCAAAATGTGGTCTCTCCCCTTGGAAAAGATCAAGAACTACCTCTTCTTTTCTTTCTTCCTCATCCTCCACAACTTCCTTCCTCATCCTTGCTCGCTCTTCTTCTTCTAGAACAGATTGGAGATCAAGTCGCCAAGCAATTTCTTCAATGGGATCATCTTGCATCTCCTCGCACGGGCCCAACATGTTAGAGCATAAATGAGGAAAGGTTTGATATGCAACCAAAGGACTTTCCTGATCATGACTATCATGGGTGTTCTCTGTGATAACTTCTGTATGCTCCTCAACGTCCCCGTAGCCTTTGTCATCCTCCACCACTTCTAGCGTGGTAGCAGAAAGGTGATCTTGAGCAAGATGTGAGCAAACTTGCTCCACCCACTGTGTTTGCTGCGCTGAGCGCTGAATAGTCTCCTCCATATCATGGAGAAATGAGGGATCGGAAGCGGCAAGGGCTTTGATTTGAAGATCCATCTTGGAGCATGATCTTTCATTGTCTCGAGCAAACTGCTCCACGAGAAGCCTTAATTGTTTGTTCGGATCTTCCAGTGAAGTGTAGCATGGCTCTGCAGAGTGGCCCGTGAAGGCCTCCATGGCTAACTCCAACTCAGATGGCCCCTCTGGTTGTGGCAGGAACTCTTCTTGAAAAGGATATTGTCCTTGAGGTTCCCAAGGGTTTGGTTGTTCTCCGTAGTAGGGGGGTTGGTACTGACATTCGAATCCATAGTCTTCTCCTCCTTGATTGCTCCAGGAAGTCTCGGGGTAATACCACACGGATGGTGGTTGATACCCCCAATGGTTGGAGAAGCCATGAGGATCCATGTTTCAGAGCTGCACCAACAAAAAAATAACACCCAAGTGAAAAGCAAGGGTGGAAAAGAAAAGAAAAAAGCTAAAGTAACAGACTTTCACGTTTCCCCAATAACCTAGAGGATCCCCGGCAACGGCGCCAAAAACTTGACACGCCAAAACACAACACCAAACTGCGACCAAGTGTAATCGCAGTCCGGGAATGCAGTAAAGTGGCAAGTTCTACTATCAACCCGGGGTCTAGATCTACTGCTTACTCCGTGAGTATCTATTATCTAGCCAACTAAGTTAAGTGTTTGTTGTTTTAAGCAAAAGCAGAAAGAAAGCAGGAATTGGTACGGTTTTCTCAAGCAAAGAAGAGTCACTCGGGAATGAGTCCCCCTAGCTCCTTAGTTAGGTTTCAATTTTAATTTCCCTGGGTTAATTTACTGTTGATTAGACTGCGGAAGATCCGACAGTAGCTTGGAATCTCTTAAGCTGACCAAGCCCTCTCAGTCTAACTACCCGACAGACGACTAGTCTTCACCGGGATAGAAAGCTGAAGCAGTAAGCACAGAACTCCAGTACTGGAATTGGATTCCAGCACAAAGCAGTAAACTGGCTAACTCTCGTATAGCCAATCTCCTACTACCGAATGATGAGGCTCTAACAACCTAATCAGATTCTATCTATCTCAGGTTGCAGCAGAAATCAGGAAAAGCTGATCAGACTTCAATTGACTCAATAAACATGCATCATTCGATTAAAACCAAGCAGTAATATCATCCCAAGTCATTACAATCAAACCCCTAACACATAGAACTAGGGTTCTTCATACCCAAGTGAGAGAAGGTTTCTACTCCATAGAGAGAGAGGGGAAAACAGAATACAAAGCAGTCATACTCATATCAATGGGAAGAATCTGCTCTGGGATGATGATTTCCACTCCTATGACGATCTCCAAGCTCGATTTGATGAAACCCAGCTCCAAGATAGCTTCTAGGATGTGTTCTTCGTACTTTCTCTCTTTAGGGCTCTGTTTTTGCTCTAAAAATCCGATTCTCTCACTTGCTGCCCGAAATTGGGTAAAAACCAGAAATTCCCGACTCACACGGGCAGGGCCACAAGGCCGTGTGGCATACCCAGTTGCCCGTGTGAAGTCAAAACGCCGCGTTCCGAATAATTGGATTTCAGGCTTCTTACACGGCCAAGGTCACACGGCCGTGTAGCTCACCCAACCTGGCCGTGTGAAGCCTCGCAGAATTCCACACGGCCAAAGTGCAACTTCACACGGCCGTGTGACTTTCAGGGCTGGCCGTGTGAAGGCTCGCACAATCCCACACGGCCAAATTGGTCACTTGCACGGTCGTGTGAGTTGTGAGTGTGCCCGTGTGGCTTCCTTTTTGACTTGCCTCGCGCCCGATCTTCGTCCAATCGACCCCGAACTCGCTCCTAAACCTTCATTCACTTGCTAGGACCTGAAATATCACAAACAAACACAACCTAGCGTGAAATCGGCCTAAAACACGAGAATAACCATCTCAAACGGCTCCATAATAGGGGTAAAAACACGAACCTAGCGTGAAATCGGCCTAAAACACGAACCTGATTCTGCAAGTGTCCTTGATCGATCTCCATCACCATTGGAGCATGGCTTGAGCTTGGAGAAGAGCTTATTGAGTGCCAAAAGCAGATTCTCATCCTTCACAGTATGGTTTCCGCATCTGAGCTAGATTTACCATCTCTCTCTATGGAGTAACTTTTTTATTCACCTGGGTATGAAGAACCCTAGATTTGTATGTTGGGTCTGATTGTATGAACCCAAGTACAGATTCAGTGATATGATTAAGTTCAATCGAGGTTTGATTTGTTGAATGGCATGAATCCTTCCGCCGCGAGCCGCCACCTCCGCCGCCGGCCGCCGTCACGCCCGTCGCCGGCCACTTTCTGGCGACGTTCCGGCGGGTTTTCGTGCAATTTTCCGACCTATTTTCCGGTGAGCCTCCCGGACCATTTTTAGCACCTTTTCGCGTCCCTCACCCATTTCTTTGCGTCGCGTCTACAGTTCCACTTGAGTTTCCAGGTGTATTTCTTGTTAACTTTTCTCTTCCTGGAAAATCGAACTGTAGATTGTATGACCGAGAACTGTGTTTGCCTGGCATGATTGAATTAGGATAGGGTGAGGGATGCCTTGAGTATGAGTGGCCATGACTATTGTGTGTGTGCTGCCCGTGTGATTGAATTGGTTGGTTATGGTTTCTCTTGCCTTGAGTGCGGTTGAGTTGCTTGCGATTCAACCGGTTATGCTTAAACGGTTAGCCTAGGTGGTCCTTAAGTGTGGGGGAAGTGATGAACCCATATTGTTGGCCCTGACAAGTTTTTCTTGGCTCCACCTTTGGTTTTTTTATTTTTCAGGAGCATGTCACTCGACCATCCGTTCGTGCAGGACCTGCGCTTGCACCCGGATTATGCGGACCAGTTCCGCAAGGTCACCCGCGGGAAACTAGAGCACCACCACCATCTGGAGTGGGGAGTATTCGAGCAGCTCCATTGCATACAGGAGCTCTCCACCGCCATCAGCCACTGGGATTGGCGGACGTTGCTGACTATCGAGGAGACCACCTATACCGAGCTGGTGTGGGATTTCTACACCACCTACCAGTACCGCCCCAAGGCGGCCCGGGACTCCTACGCAGTTACTTTTAGGCTGGGTGGCCATCCACGGGAGCTGACCATTGACGGGTTGGCCTACGCCATGGGGATCCAGTACCACCCCTTCTTGCGCCACGAGGTCGAGATTCCGAACCCGACGGACTGGAACCAGGACGAGTTCTACCGCCGGATAGCTCGGGGAGACTACAGGGGGGACTTTTTCGACGCCGGTCAGACTTCCGTCTCCACCCTCAGGGCGCAGTGGCACATTCTGAACCTGCTCATCACCCGCTCTATCGTCCCCAATGCCACTGGGTCACACAAGATCCCAAAGCGGGTGCTCTACGCCATGTAGTCGATGGGGGACCGGAGCACATGCTGCACTTAGCTTCTTTCGTGGCCACCACCTTCTCTCGGTGCCACGAGAAACCCAATCACCTCTTCTGTGGTCCCCTGATCACCTGCTTGGCGCGCCACCTCGAGATTGACTTCGAGGGACTGACGAATTCCTCACCATGGGGCGGCTCCACCCCTCTCAGCCGGGACGTGCTTCACAATGCACTCCTCCTGACTTCTGATGGCACCCGCTCCTGGGTGGATGGACTGTCTTTGCCCCCGGAGGAGGATGAGGATCTGGATGAGGATGAGGAGGACGAAGACTACTCCGGCGAGGAAGAGGCCGATGATGATGATGATGATGATGATGATGATGATGGCGGGGCCATGGATGCTGATGAGCCGGAGCCCCCGCTCTCTCCACCAGAGGACCTTCAAACACGACGGAGATCAAAGAGAGGCGAGTCCTCCTCCGGTCCTTCTGGTCCGTCGATGGCTTCTGGCCCGTCGATGGACTTCTTCACGGAGCAGTTGCAGCAGATGGGGCTCCAGTTCCAGTAGATCGGACTTCAAAACCAGCAGCTCATGGACCATCAGGTCCAGTTCTACCAGCAGTATTCGGCCCAACAGGCCGAGTACCAGTCCAGGCTGACAGTTGTAGACGAGCGCCTCGACCGGATGGAGGCAAGATGGGAGTCACTGGAGCTCTCATCGAGCGAGAGCGGGATCGCAGCCGCCAGATGATGGAGTACCCGGAGCACCTGCTCCAGTCTTGTAACCCGCCAGAGGAGCACCGCTGGACCACCCGGTGGGACCCCTCACCACCACCACCGCCACCGACTGATGGGGTCAACGACCTCATGAACCAGATAGACTTCACCGAGCTCGAGTAGGCTGTACTCGTGGTCCGTTTTGTGTTGTTTTTGTTTCTGTCAGAGTGCAAACTGTCTTCTGTGTTGGTTTATTTTATTTTCTTTCCTTTTATTTTGGATGATGTACTATTGGGCTGACCATTGGACCTAACGTATTATGTTTGAGTTCTTCTATTCCCTTTAGTTGTGCTTTGTCCCTGACTGGTCCCCTCTCCAGTCACTGGTCCCCATCCAGTCTCATGCAGTCCGTGCACACCGGTAACATCGTTCCTCTTATCCTTCCCTCTTCTCCATTGAGGGCAATGTCGATCTTAAGTGTGGGGGAGGGGGGGGGGGATGTTTCTCTTTTGACTGCATTAGATCTGTTTGTGTGCTTGGAGCCTAGTCCATTGTCCAAATTTTTAAATTTGAGGGCTCCAAGTACGTGTTTCCTTGCAAATTGCCTGCTCAATATGCTTTGAATTGACAGTATCTAAAGTAATGTGAAACCTAGGGAGGTAGTGTAGCGCTATGGACGATGTTGAAGTATAAGATTTTTCCTATCTAGCTCTCTGTTGTGCCAGTTGATTTTGTGAATTAGTTGAGCTAAGACCGTTGAATTCATGTGGTAATGGTGACTCTATTTGGATTGTGTTATGGACTCGTGTATCGAACAGGTTGCTCATGTGGGAAATGAAAAGCAGTTGGTCCTCCATATTGAAATCTTAAACATGGGGTAAGCCCAACGTGTGTGGCACCGTTCATTGCACAAAATCAGGTTTTGGAGGATATTTTAGTGATCCTTAGTGGGGTACTCCTACAAGGTGAAGCTAAGCTGTCTCTAGTACAAGTAAAACTTCCACCCGTTGAACGGTTTGCCTACTCGAGGATGTGTTTTTAAGGGCACAGATAGAGCTTCCGAACCCCTTAATTTCATTGACCCTCCACACGAGTTGAGGAAAAGGAGTTAAAAGAAGTACTCTGGCGAGCGCCAGATGTACAGAAATTGCTCTTGCTCGACTAATAAGGGTCGACCGTGCAAAAGACTGCAGTTGGAACCCCCGCCGAGTGAATAAAAAGAAGAAAAAATAGTTAAATGAAAGTGAAAAAGGGGTTCCAACGGTGAAATGAAGTGAAAGAGCATCCCGGTACCACGAGTCCTTGGTTGTGAATGGTGTGAGTCTCTTTATCCATGAACTGACTGTCTTACTTCTACTTCTTCTCATGATCCTGGCTTGAGTCTAGTACTCGCATTGAGAGAGATAGGGAACGTCTTAGAAGACCAGTTGACCTCGTAAGCTGCTATATGATCTAGAAAATCCTCTACCAACGACCGGGGTTGTTTGTTGCTATAGAGGTCTGGAGAGTTGCATTGGTTTGAGTTCGGTTTGCTTGGGGACAAGCAAACGGTTAAGTGTGGGGGAGTTTGATAGACCATTGATTACAAATGTTTTTACCCCTATTATTGAGCCGTTTGAGATGTTGATTCTCGTTTTTTAAGTCGATTTCACGCTAGGTTGTGCGTTTATGTCATATTTCAGGACGTAGCGTTGGCATCGAGGCGAAGAAACGAGTTTCAGGTTGAAAGGAGCATGCATGTTTGGGTCGAAGTGTGCTGGAGGAGAAAAATACCCGGCCATGAGCAGAAATACCAGGTCGGGTATTATTTGGAGTAGACCGGGGAAAATGCGTTTTAGACGTTTGAGAAGCAGAAGGGGGCCCAGTCGTGAGGCTTAAATCCCCGGTCGGGGATTCTTGGCCTTGACCGGGGATTTTCCCCTGTTACCCGACGGTGCGTTTTGAAGATACCCGGTCGGCACCCAAAATACCCGATCGGGTATTCAGGCCGGGGATCGCGACAGACAGCCTCTTAAGGGAAAAGAAGGGCAAAAGAGAAGGGGTTCCAAGTTTTAGAGAGAAAAAGCGATACCTAGAGAGAAAGTGACGAACCTAATTCTGCAAGTGTCCTTGATCGATCTCCATCACCATTGGAGCACGGCTTGAGCTTGGAGAAGAGCTGATTGAGTGCCAGAAGCAGATTCTCATCCTTCACAGTATGGTTTCCGCATCTGAGCTAGATTTCTCATCTCTCTCTATGGAGTAACTTTCTTATTCACCTGGGTATGAAGAACCCTAGATTTGTGTGTTAGGTCTGATTGTATGAACCCAAGTACAGATTCAGTGATATGATTATGTTCAATCGAGGTTTGATTTGTTGAATGGCATGAATCCTGATCAAATTCCAGTTGTTTCTGCTTTAACCTAGAAAGAGAATATCTGCCTAGGTTGATAGAGCACCCTTGATTGAAGGTAGTGAATTGGCGACTTTAGTCGAGGAGTCAATTCACTATTATGTACCGAATTTGCTTCGGTAGTGGAGGTTTGGTTCGTTAGGGCCTCAGTCTGTTTACTCCGGTGGAGGTTAGTCGCCCGCTGGGGACTCAGATTGAGAGGGTCTGTCGACCTTTAGTCTAGACTGCAAACTGTTTAAGAACCTCTCGCGGTATAACTATCATTGAACTTGAACTTGGTAAATTACAATCCGACTTAACTGCAGTCTAGGGGGAACCATATCCGGGGTGACCTCTCTCGACTTGAAAACAACCTTTTTACTTGCTTTGCTTGTTTGCTTGTTTGGACCTTCACTAAAGTTTCAATGCTAAATAATAAGAACTCACGGAGTAGTCATCACATCTAGGACCCGGGTTGACATTAAAACCCAAACCCGCTATACTACGCTTTAGGAGGTGGTTACACTTGGCCATTTTCTAGAGTGACGGTAGAAGCTAGTCACATACTTAAAGTATTAAAAAAAATATGAGGTGAGATATACGATTTAATAAATCTATGCATCATTGACAAACCAACTCATAAGATATAGATTGATTTTGTCATAGGTCGTAGTCAAATTGGTTGCTAGTCACGATGTTGAGACATTTCATGAGTTCAAAACGAGACCGTACATGAGTTGAACTCAACAAACGACCTAATCAATCTAGTTCACGAGCCTCATGAGCTGAACAGGGTTGAGTTCAAGCTCGGCTAATTAAAAAACGAATAAAGATTTTCTTGAATCGAACGAGCTTTTATCGTTGAACACCGAGCTGCTCGTGAATAACTTGTTTCATTAACAATCCTGACTAGAAGACGCCAAATCTCATGTGTGCAATCTTTTCTGGCTGTTTTGAGTTGTGACATAGTTGACATAATTGCTGGGATAGAATCGAATCAACCATAGAGAGTGGGAACATCAGTTTCATTGTCCTTATGCTCCCAAGAGTTTTCGTTCTGCTGGTGGTGTAATCAGTGGTTTCTAGCTTTTGCTTTCAAATTTGTCCTCATGATGGTGCATGCTTCCTGCAACATATATACAAGCAGGGAACCAAAAGAGTTGTGTGATTACTATAAAAAGAGTTGGGAGATGCAATTTGGTTTTAGTGGTGGGTTTGTGCATTGTCTCTCCTTTGTCTCATTCTCAAGATGAAGTATATTCATTATGCTCATTTTTCACTTCACTGTCCCCTCTAAGTTTCATCCTTTTACTTCGCTCGAACTTTATATATTGCTTGTTCTGATTTGATTTCTTTTGAGTGTATGGCTCGGGATTCTGATACAATCCACTAGCTATGTTTTTGTATTGCCTGTGATACTGTTAATAGGAAGTGAAAGGGAGACATAGAGTTTTTATACGGTATCAATATTGATCGGATATACCATTTAAATTGTTTATTTTCTTTAAAAAAAATTATTCACTGACACGGATCAAATGGGTTTATTATAGCATTACAACACGGTTTGTTTGAAAGTATTGTTCCTTTTTTATTTTCGTTATATCTAGAATTGTTGGCCTCAACCAATTTCGGTGTCGGTAGGATTTCATAATCCATAGTTTTTAATTATAAGAAATTTTGATTAGAAGATGAGACATAATAAGTCAAAAGGGGAATCTGAAAATCTGTTGTGGGAATTGAGGATATATTGTCTGGTGAACAAGTGACCCAAATGAGCCACAGCTCATGAATCATTAGTTTGTATGGCTCCATGCTTTGGTGTGAATTGTAATATTGATATTGTCATAGATATTGATTTGATTTGATTTTTATTGAGAGACCTCCCCAATCAATTTTGTAATTGCTTCATTTTTTAAAACATGAAAAATGGATGAGAGAGAGGGAGAGGGACTGTTGTAATTGACTACAATCAATGGTGTGGCAAAACTGAAATAATAATAATAATAACAGTAATAATAATAAGCATAACCTTTTTGTTTAATTAAAAAAGGGAGATAAATATAATACCATACAACTTCAAAAACTCCAGTCTAGTATCATATTGCAAAATTATCATTTAAGAAGCATAAAAACTAACAGCAAATGGATATGCTATGCATTACTTGGTTGTCTTTTAACATTTTTTTAAGTCGGTTTCTTTGTTGTAAGACTAAAAAGCAAAGAATCAACATAAATTATGAGGGTAAATAACAAGATTGTTCACTGAGATTACTAAAATAATCCATGTTTAGTCACTAAAAATATTTAATTCTATTCGTAGTCACTAGATTTAGTAAAACATGTCATATTTGGTCACTCTCCATCCAACTCCGTTAACTTTGTCTGATGTGGCAGTTAACTCGCATAGTTAACGTCAAATTTATGATGTGGCATTTAAAAACTAAAAAAAAATTAAAATTAAAATTTCCACCTCATTATCATTCTCTTAAAAATTAAACAAATTAATTTTAGTTCCCTAAACCTCACAAACTAACATCACCCCTCTTTCTCACCCGCATTTGACCTGAGATTTATAGTCCCCGGAAATCCCCAATCTGAATGCCGCGAAGGCATAGCGAGCAGCCGGAGATTGGAGGATTCCCCTGATACAATTAAAATGGCTCATTCCTTCACTCTTTCTCCTGTAGAGAAACTCCTTCAGAAAAACTCAAACTCTTCGAATTCCTACTAGCTAATGAAGATTGCGAGGTCGAAGACGCCGACATCGACTTCGGCTTGTTACGGTGGAATCCATGGCGGCGGCCTCTTCTCCTTCCTCCTCCCCTCCCCTGTTTTTTTCTTTCTCGGTTCTTACTCTCAGTCTTCGGCGGCGGCGAACTCGAATGAGGAGGAACAGAGCGGCCACATAGATCTGGTTTTCCGTCGGAGAGATTTGTTCCAGAGTCTCAAATCTCGCCCTCTGCTCTCGCCGTGAAATCCTTATTACCACCATCATTGAGCTCTGCTTCTTCTACTCCTTCTTCCAGCTCCACGTACGAGGAGCGTTGAGCTGCCGCAGAAGTGACGGCGAAGCGCATCGGGCTCGCTGGAGTCTGGAAAGCTGTAGAAGAAGCCTCCCACCCCGCCGCTGTATGGGCGTTGACGAAGGGAGTGGAGCAGCCGAGCAGGTGCTCGCAACCTTCCATCACCCCTGCGAGACGGCGCGCAATCAACCTACATCTCCCGGTGCTCGCCATCCCTTTCCCTTCACCGCGGTCCACATTGGGGATTTTTGGAGGCTGAAATCTTGGGTCGTGCGCTGGTGAGAAAGAGGGCTGAGTTTATGGCTGAAGATGGGGTGCATGAGTTATGCATCTATCAATAACCAAATATGAATCCTTCATTTAGAAAATTCAGATCTAAAAATGGAGAATTAAAAATTATTTTTTATTTTCTCTAGTTTTCTTAATCGGCTCATATCTTTTTCGTTTTAACTTGGATTTTAATTTTTTTTTCACAGGTGGAACGAGTTCATCGTGCTCTACAAAATGAGATCAATTTTCAATATTTTTTTAGAACAAAAAATTATGGCCTCTCGGTACCAACTGCATACCATATGATATTTTCTTCATATTTAATTCGTTTTTGAAAACGTTTGCACAGAAGGGACGAGTTCATCATGATCTATTAGATCTACAAATTTCTGGGTGAACAAATTACAGGACTAAAAAATATCACACAATACCATACAATACCACCATGGTACGGGGTGGTATTGTATGGTATCTTCTTCGTTTTTAATTCGTTTTTGAAAACGTTTGCACAGAAGGGACGAGTTCATCATTATCTATTGGATCTACAAATTTATGGGTGAACAAATTATAGGACCAATAAATACCACACAATACCATACAATACCACCCTGGTACGGGGTGGTATCTTGTGGTATACAATGTTAAAAGTCGTAAATGACAATTAATATATTTCTACTATCATGTATTCAACCATCCTACAGTCTTGGTTTGTTCATACCACCATGGTACTTTTTTTAAACCATATGTATTCTTTTATTTCAATACCAGTCAATACCATATGGTATAGACTGGTAAAAAATGGCTCAATTTTTTTTGTTCGAAAAATATATTAAAGTGAATATCATTTTGAAGAGCACAATTAATCTGATCTAACTGTGCAAAAAAAATTAAATTTCGACTTAAAAGAGTGAAAAATCATTCGTCAAAGATTAAAGAGGAGAAATTAAAAGCTTTCCAGGAGAGAGAAGATGCTGATGTCATGCTGATGTGGACGGATTACTCATAGTTACTCACCACAAGGTTACTCACCTGATCTGCTCCCTGAGTTTATCGCATTTGAGAGAATGGAGTGAGCTTTCTCTGTGCCGTCTCTGTTCCATGGCGGCGTGGCGGGCGTAAATCAAGGAGACCTTCTCTGTAACTCCTTTCCATCTCCCGATTCTGATGCTTCTTCGCATCTTAATCCCAAAGAGAGTTGAGGTTAAAATGCATATTATTATTATTATTATTATCATTTTGTTTAATGGGAAGGGTAATGAGATGAAAATGTTAATTTTTTTTAATGTTTTACTAAATCTAATGACTGCGAATGAAATTAAATATATTTAGTGACTAAACTTGGACTATTTAGTAATTCCAGTGACCAAACTTGTCATTTACCTGATAGGTGGAATCTCATTAAATGAAAACACAAGCTAGCTGGGAATGGTTTATTTAAAACCAATTGTCTCAACTCTCAACTACCATATCTGTTGATCCATTACTTGGGAAGAGTACATAGTTTTACTTTTTACCACGCAGTAGTTTCTGCTACTGGATAATAGTCAAGATGGAACAGAACTAAGAACATAATGAATGATTCCCAGAATTTTAGGTAATCTGCAGTCATGTTGGCTTGCCCTTTCACTGTCTCCCATTTTTACAATACCCAACTAGTGGGAGGCTTCTGATCATAACCCATGTCAGAAATGGATGGAAAAAAATCATGGGTGCTTAAAAACCCATGGTAAATTGCAAGTTTGGTCATTGAGTTTACTAAAAAGTGTTATGTTTAGTCACTCGAAATACTTAATTCCAATGTTGGTCACTCGAATTAGTAAAACGGTACACGTTTAGTCACTCTCCGTTAGTCTTTGTTAACACCGTTAGTCAATTACTGATGTGGCTAACAGAAGTACTGACTCGCCCTATTTTAACTCGCCACATCATTAAATCTGACCCGCTACGTCACTCAATCTGTCACCTCAGTTTCTCCAACCCAACCCATAAACCAACCATCCCAAAAAAATTGTTTTGGGATTTTTCATTATTCGAGATGAGTTCTTCAACTCAGGCAGGCGAGAGTCGACCCAACCCCACACCTCTTCTCCTTCCTTCTCGCGAATCATAGACTAGAAATCAACAGCCTTGGCTACGGTTGACGGTTGAGGCTCGCCATCGGACGCTCCAATCCTAAATCCAGAGTAGCAGAGGTTGATTGATGGGCGAGGCAACCGTCTGCTTCCTCTTCTCCTGCCTCCTTGTGAACCCTAGAAATCAATAATGGTTCTGGCCGATTGCTGAGGCTCGCCGCCGGTCGCTCCATTCCAAAAACCACAATAGCAGATCGGCAGGCGAGGGAATTGTTCTTTCCTTCATCTCTAATTTGAGCTGCCACCAATTCCATCCTCTTCCTCTTCCCCAAATCGATCATTCCAAATCCAGAAAAGCAGGACAGATTGGGCGCTCCAATCCCACTCCAATACGATCAGATCTGGATTTCATTTCTTCGCAATTCAAGATCTGGGTTCAGTTTCTCGAAGCTTAGGGCCCAAAAGAAGAGAAGGTCAGACTTATTTGGGAGAAGATGGAGAGAAGGGCGAAGTGACTTCATATTTTCTGCATCTTTGATGATCGGCGGCTAATAGCGGGAGAAGATTGGGAGGCAGCTGTGGAGGAGGAAGGAGTGTGAAGGAGTGAGAGAATATTGTGATGGCGGGGAGAGAGAAGAGAGGAAGAGGAGGAATTGGCAGTAGTGGCCGTAGAAGTAGTTGGAGTAATAATAATGGTGGCTGGAGTTGGGTCTCTAATGAAGTTTATTTGCCTGTTGCTTTTCTTTTTTCTTTGGCCATTTGGTGTTTGTTGGTGGAAAAGAAGGAGAGAAGCGGAACGAGACGATCGTGGAGCCAAGACCAACGATGAGGAATCAACCGACGACTGGTCAGTGGTTCGGGAATGGTCTGTTTATGGGTTGGGATGGAAAAACTAAGGTGGCGGGTTGGGTCAGATTTGGTGATGTGGCGGGTTAAAATAGGGTGAGTTGGCACTTCTGTTTGCCACATCAGCAATTGACTAACGGTGTTAACAGAAACTAACGGAAAGTGACTAAACGTGGACCGTTTTACTAATTCGAGTGACCAATACTAGAATTAAATATTTCGAGTGACTAAACATGACACTTTTTAGTAAACTCAGTGACGAAACTTGCAATTTACCCAAAAAAAACTGAAAAGTTGAGTCGAACTGTGATCAGTTATCACTGAACTATGATGAGCTGCTGCTGCTGAGCTTGAAACTTGATCCAAACTTCCGTTTTTCTAATGAAATCCACACATTTCCTCTGCAATTCTTCACCACTCAGCAACCCATTTTTACCTTCTCCTTGTCCAACTTCAACAAACAAATCTCCATCTATATGCTTCTCCTCATCACAACCCCCAACTTCACCTGTCATAAAGCTGCAATTTTCATCATCCTCTTCCCTTTCGCCCTCGGAAATCACTTCTTCTGTAACAAAGCTGCAATCTTTACCCTCCTTTCTCCTTTCCTTTCACCTACTGCAATCACCTCCTCTTCTGTTGCCTCTTCCAGTACTTTCTCCCTAACTTCCATCTCTGACTTAAAGTCAGCAACTTTCTTCTTCTCCCCATTCCGATCAGACCAGAAATCCTTGCAATCAGGACCAAGATCCCATTGCAGAGGATGAACATGTAATTCTTGTCCACAATTGTGGTGGAAAGTTCGATTACCAGAGGGAATACACAATCAGAATGGTGAAAGAACACAAAGAAGAAGATAATTGAAGCTATGAGCTTTGTTGCCTTCTTTACGGACTGGGAAGAACCGCTCAAAGGTAGAGACTTCCCCTGGCGGTTTAGGGATATGGGTTCCATTTTCCGGAAAGATGGGATGTGGGTCTGTGACTGTGAGAAAGAAGAGATGGGCTTGTAGTTGCGGTTTCTTTTATTTTCGGCTGAATATATATAGGAAAGGAGATGTTCCGTTATATAGGGGACTTTTCTAAGGGCAATGAGAACAAGTCAGTCAACTGCCCTCTGTTTGTTATGTTTAATTACTACTATTGTTAGTCCCTCAGTGGAAAGAAGGTTGATATTTTTCTGTTTTTGTCCTTGAAACAATTGGAATTTCTAGGAACCTATGATGTAACTAAAGTTCCTCCGCTTTCACGCGGCGGTTTTTTGTGTATAAGAAAATTGTTTAGCAATCTGGGGTTTAGGTTACACAGAGCAATAGCATGATTAGGTTACAAAAATTTGATCCATTCAAAAAGGATTTAGATGGGCCAATGATCTATCTATTATCTCTTCGTAAGTTGACAGATTCAAAATCAAATTTAATAATTTTTTTTTTGTTGCTAGAGGACATTAGTAATGACATCGCGACGGATCGAGGGCGGGTAGCCCCTATCTAATGCCCACCCGTCGAAAATGGCCGGTTTACCCATCCCCCTCTCTATCAGCCAAACATGTCAGAATTGGATATCATCCCCGTTAATGAGTGGTTTTCCGGGTGACCACAGGTTTCTAATACTCGATAGAAAATAATAAAAAAATGAAATTGTGATAAAAATTAAAAATTGAAAACAAATCTTAAACTTCATTCATGTTTCATAGTTTCAAATTAACAAAACCAAACTGCATTGTTGTTGTTAGTAGCACAACAACAACAACCACAACACCTAAAATGAAATCAACTAAACATAATCCATTCCCAGCAACATGAGTGTCGAGTAGAATCCAAAAGCAAGGAAAATGAAATTAAAAATTTGTCCAAAATGTAATCTAAAAGCAACAACAACCCCTATCAACTACTAAGACCAACAACAGCAACATTCCAAATTTCCAATAACAGCCAATATTGAGCAGTTCAGATCAGCAAGCAGCAGCCAACAAGTCTGCAACAACAAGTCAACAAGCAAAATGAGTTTATAGCTAAGAAGTAAGAACTTGAGTTGAACTATAAACATGAGTTTATAGCTAGCAAGTCTCCAAAAGTTCATAATGTTAAAAGATAACCTATCGAAGTTTATACCTTGGCTCCACAACAAAGAAATCTTCGATAATTAGCCTTCATGGCCAAATGGTGATCTCATGAACACCATTCCTGGACCTCAAGAAGTAATGCAAAACACATTAGTCATATGCTTGAATGAACAAAGTGAGAAGTATGAAAGATTCAGAGAAATTCTTAGTTTCTTACCCCCAGGTTATGCCTCTTCAACTGAGCTATCTTCAATGAACATCGTAGAGAATACTCCCTCCAATGCATCCATAGTAGCCTCAGAATCTGTACAAACAAGAGGATAAGGTTAACATTTAAGCAAATAAAGATGTAATCAAATTGAGAGGTATAGTTGTAGTTTACCTCGTTGCATGTCTTCCATTATCCAGCTTCTGTGCACATCATTACTTACACAGTTGAATAATGCAGCCTGCTCCGGTGAGGGTCTAACAAATTCCCACCATAACTAAAAGCGCTCTCAGAAGCCACATAGGTGACTGGGATTTCCATAAAGTCCATCGCAATTGCTTGCAAGGTGGGATACTTGAGATCATTCAATTTCCACCACAATAGAAGATCAAACTCTATTGTCTGAGGAATAATATCCTCAGCAAGATAGTGGTCCAACTCAGTAGTAATCAGAGTACTCTTACTCTTTTTTCTTTGACTTACAAACAATTCAAAGTCAAGTTTAGTGGCCGAGACAGATGCAAAACCAACAAAGTTCTAGTTCTAGAACCAGTTTTTTTCTCAGCTTTGGATTGACAATCAAGAATCAAACCCACATATAATTTGATTGATATTCTCAGCCAACAAATTAGTATCATTATTGCAAAACTTTTCAGCATATTACTCAATAACATGTAGCTTATACATAGGATCCAAAATAACTGAGACGGCAAGAACAAGATGGATATCATCCCAATACTTATCAAACTTCATGGACATCTTACTGGTCATCCCAAAAATCACAGAATTGGGATCATTGCCCCACTCAATAAGTTTCAGTCTTAGATCACAAATCTTTGGGGGGAAAAGATTGGCAATCGGGTATTTGGAATCAGAGAATAAAACAGTAATCTCAGAGAAAGTTTTCAACTTCTCAAGCACAATAGATGCAAATTCCAAATGAGCATTAGAAGGAACTAATGTGTATTGACTGTCCCTCATGCTCAAATGAAAAAATAAATATTTTTATGGAAGAGCAACAAAGAGCATATGAAAGGTGAAATTCCATCTAGTACTAGCTTTTCCTCAAAAGACAATTTCATTTGCTTAGCTCTTTCGAAGAAGGTATGAACCCTCTTAGGTTTAGAATTCCAGTAAACTACACTCTCCCTAGTCAAATGTATAGCATCCAAAACATCCCTCATAATCAAGTTCAGAATATGAGTTGAGCACATCTTATGAACCAATTTACCATCCAACGACAGGTCACTAGTCACCAGCTTATTTTTCAGATGAAATATCATTGAATCATTGGTGGTGCAGTTTTCCAATGTGATTAAGGACAACTTACCATCAATGTTCCAATCCAAAAGAGAATCAAACAATCTATCAACAAGTCTTTCACTTGTGTGAGGGGCTGGAACATACATAAATCTTATCATAGAGTTACAAAGCTTCCAAGAGTTATCAATAAAGTGGCATGTTAATGCCATATACCCTCTTTTCTAATTTGTGGCAGTCCACAAATCAGTAGTCATAGAAATCCTACCGAATTTACCATCAAGAATGCTTTGATATATGCCTATTTGAACCACATACAAAGCAACTACGTCCTTTTTTCACTGTGTTTCTACAAAGAATAGTGGATTGAGGTTGGAAAGAACAACTGAATCATTTGAACCCCAAGTGATCAACAATACTAAGTGGGGACTCATGGGCCAAAATCATGGAACAAAGTTCCTTCCTACATACATCAGAATTGTACTGAGAAGCAGAGACTTGAGGCCAAGAATTTTCCGAGTACCATCGTGTATCCTTCTCTGGATACATGATTTGATATGGTTTCTAAGATTTGAAGTTCCATTGCTTGTTTCCCCACCAAGCGGTTTCTTGCGGTACTTACACCTTACTTTCATTACCTCATTAATTCTCACTCTAGTGAAGTGAGGCCACACTTTAGACGTTAACCTAGGTTGTTCTACCAGTTCTTCCTCTCTACCATTAGCACGATTATTTGCATCAACAACAGCTTGTTTAGGTTGGACAATTTCACCACCATGTTCTATATTTAGTTCACCTGCCATCTTCATATACACATGAACAAAAAAAGTCACAGTTAAAAATCTGTCGATCATCCATGCATGTTTGTATTAAACCACTAATTCGGAAAACAACACCGAGTAAGTAGAGTTGAAACCCTTAACCTGGAATATGAAGTTTGGTCTCTACCTCCCTGTCTCTAGAAAGCTTTGGATATTAAAACTCAGAACTCGCTACCCAAAACGAGAAGAAGATGGCCAAATGATGAGATAGAAAGACTCACATGAAAATTTCCTATATATAGAAATAGAAAGCGGGAAGAATGAAGAGTCATTCGACTTTTAACTTAGAATTTAAAATAAAAGGGAAAAAATGAATGCAAGGATTAAGGAAGCATGTTGTTCCTTATCTGTGATGATATTCGATAGAACTTCAAACAACTCCTTTGACTGTTGTGAACGACGAAATCGTCGACGAATGATTGCTCTTTCTGCCATGCGATTGGAGGAATTGAAGACGAAAGATTATCGATTCGATATTCTAGGTGAGGTTTTGATTGCAAAATAGCGAAAAATCGGCATAATCGCGCGTTGATCGAGCGAATTTCATGTCTGATCGCCATTTGCTAGAGAGATAATGAGAGAGAGGATTAGGTTTTTCAGATTTTGGGGGAGTCGAGAGTGAATGAGGGTTTAGAGAGTCTCAAGCGGTTGCCCCTATGTTAGGTGTTGTTTATGTATGCACACCAAAACGATATCGTTTTATGCACGAATAATCTGTCGATTGGATCTCGGGGCGGATATGCATGGATCCGGCCCCGTCCGCGTGCCGTATTTGACGGGCAATGGATTACCCGTGACCTGTTGACGGGACTCAACATTCGTACAAAATAGGCCCATGGCGGGCGGGCTTTGGCCGGATACCCAGAAGCGGGCCTCAGCCTGTCATCCCTAGCGGACGTGAGCATTGTTTGTGGTTTTTATTCACAATAAAACTTCTATGGAGAAGAAAATTTCCGGAAGGAAAATTTGATGAGTTCAAATTATAGAAGAAAATATTGTTTCATGAATAAAGTGAGACGAAAATAAGAAAAAAAATGTATTTTAAAAGAGATAGTTGATAATGAAATAAAAAATATTAATATTTTGTTTTAATTTTACTAGTTAAAAACTTTGTTTTTTTTTAATGTTCAATGTAGTGAAAAGTAAAGGTATTGCTTCTAATACAAAATTCGCTAGTTTTGTAGATTTGCAAAAGTATTGATCGATGTCTGAGGTTGGTCCAAATGTCCGAGGTGTATTTTTTACATAATTTCAATTTAAATCCCACTTAAATAGATTTGATATAGGACGTGAACACGACCTCTAGTACTATAATTTTTTAGACTATGTTCACTCTCCGATTAAGATTGAGAGACTGGACATGGCTAGGGATACAGTCGTCCATATTCCTCTCATATATTACTTTTATTGCGTCTTTTCTTAATTCCTTGGAAATTCCAACTGGATCCAAACACAATCACCAACACGGTTGTGGCTTAAGCCATGTGGCCTCGGCATTTAGCAAAGTGTTTAACTGCATTCTAAAATGTTTGAAACTCCAAATTTCCGCTCCTTAGTGCATTTCTCGTCAAAATATGGTATAACTCAATTCCAATTACCCG